TATATATATATATACACATATCTGTAATCATACCATAGCACCGCCAGTCTGCAAGTGTCTGGGATGGGCGACCTTTGCCTGTGGCGGCAGTGCGCACGCATTGGTGAAGAGCAGTCCAGACCCTGGTCGCATGGCAACATGCTACATCTTCATAACATAGGTATGCTTGTCCATTTCTATTGTCATTGACATCATCCGACGCAACATCCGAAGCCGTAGGTTTGTCTGTCTGTCTGTCTGTCAGTCTGTCAGTCTATATGTATGTACTGCCAAGTTGTCCGTACATCTGCACGTCTATGCTACGGGTTTTCTTAGGTCTGCATCTTTGTTTACCTCAGTATATGCCATGGATCTCTTGACACTACATGCACGCGCCTGTCCACACCTCAAGCTCTTGTCAGGAACGCACTGACGGACACCGTTGCGAAGGCCGGCTTCAAGCTTGGTTATAGGGACCTGAATACTTAGTCTAGGGTGTTGGGGTATCGTACAGTGTAATTATGCAGGGGCCTAGTTAATTGGAAAAGGGTGCTAGGGCACATTGTGCTATGATTTTGTAGGGACTTCAAGAGAACATTGTTGGTTGGTAATCGCTCGGACCCCATATCACGCTCGAAGCCCCAACCCGAACCTAAGGCTATATAACCATAGCCGTAAGCTACCTTAATCATCCTTTCGGTGACAGAGGTGGTGTGAGGACGGGATAGTACATGGAAACCGAGACAGCATTCGCACTAGATCATGTCCGTATCTGCTAAGCCTCTCCAACACCTTTCAAACCTTCCCAAGCGGCTTGAAGACGGGGACATCCAGCAGCCGATTGATTGGCCTTGTCAGGCTAACTCTAAGCTTCTAAACCCTAACCCCTAAACCCTAACCCAAACCCTAACAAACCCTAAACCCTAAACCCTAACCCCTAAACCCTTAAGCCCTACCCTTAAGCCCTAAACCCTAAACCCTAAACCCTACACTTACGAAGCCCCAAGCCCCTTAGTTCCCATGGTCGGAGGCCCTGGACGGCCTCAGCCCCGTCTTGCGCTTGGCCCGGGCCGCGGCGCGCTGGGTGCAGCGAGGCCAAGAAGGGCCTGAGAGGGAGTTTCAGGCAGATGTAGGGTCTTGAATACTTAGTAATAATAATAATAATAATCTTTTTTCTTCCGGCAGGCTCAAAGTCGAAGCGACGTGCCTTTTGAAAACACAAACAATCGAATTCTGGGGCCGATGCAGAAATCAAGGAGGATTTTGTTGAAACCTCCTTGTATGCACTCGGCCAGCCTCCGATGGCAGACCCCAGGCCCTAGCTCTGTGCTAGAACCAAGAAGTCCAAAAACC